ACACACTTAGCTACACAAAAATGAAACCCAATTGTGTACTGTTTTTAAGAAACATTTGAAATAGTCATGAAAGTTGAAAATAAAAAGGTAAATAGAGATCCCAGGTGAATTCAGACAGGAGAACAGCAATATTGGGGGCTAGAGAGACAGCTCAGTGATTAAGAGCACTAGCTGCTCTCACAGAGGAACTGAGTTCAGTTCCCAGCACACACATGACAGCTAACAACCATCTGTAACTCTAGTTCCAGGTAATCCAATACCCTCTTCTAGCCTCCAGGCACCAGGCAGTCACATGGCATACATACAGACATGCAGAAAAACCCTTAATTTTTTTTAAAGAATAATATTAGGTCTAGAAAAGGTGATATTCAAGTTAAAGACATAAATAGGAAAAGGAAAGACATTCTTTAATGATAAAAAAGGATAGTTTATGAAGAAGGTAAGTAAAACTTTTATCCAAAATAACCATGAAATCTGTAAAGCAAAACTGTTAGTAATGCAAATCAGGTTATACTGAGATGCTTTAATAAATCTCTTTCATTTGTCTCTTCTATAGCCTTAAAGGGTTAAAAAGCTATATAAATAAGAAATCAGACTTAACAGGTATGCTAGAATCTTATGTCTCTTGAGCACAGAAAATTCTCTCCTGGACTACTTAGCAAAGTTCAGCATATACTTGAGTACAAAGTACATCTTAATAAATTCGAAGCAAGAGATTTCTATAGAGCTCTTCTGTTATAATCCATTAATCCATTACTATTAGAAACAGGTAAATAAGATAATAAAATATCTATAATGAAATAATCTATATAACCTTTGTATGGAAGGTAAGTCAAAAAAACATAGGTGCTAGGCGTGGTGGTACACACATTAAGTTCCAACATTGGTCAGGCAGAGGCAGACGGATCTCTGTGAGGCCAGCCTGGTCTACGTGGTAAATTCGTAACCAGCCAGGGCTTCATGAGACCTTGACTCAACAACAACCAAAAAAATAAAAAAATATCAAATGGCCAGCTCTCTAAAAGTAATCAAAGGAGGGTACACTTCAAAAGATACATGCTGAGACTGTAGCCAGCGGCAACGTTACCACCTTTATTTACCGTTATTATTTAAAAATGAAGAGACGAAGGGTGTTTTCGTTATGAAATGAGCAAAAAAGAATGATGAATACACCAAAATAAATTAGATGAAACAATACAGAGGAAGCTGAAAGCAAGGAAATAAAAATCAGAAAGATAAAACATTACATAGTTAGCTCTTTGACAAAGATACTAAAATTGTGTGATTAGGAAATTAATAAAGAGTGAAAACTCTCCAAGAGCGGAGTGAGGAAGGGGCATAAGGACAGGTGATTTTAGAAGGCAACAAGATTAAAATTTGTCCAATAGTTTGGCGAAGAATCTGAAAAACCAGAGGGAGTTTATATTTTTCTTTGTCAGACATAAATGTCCAAATTTGACTCAAGAAGAAATGGAAAATTTGAGTAGAAAAATAACCATAAAAGAGATAGAAAAAAAGGTTAACGTTCCAGCATTGAAAATGTCAATGAAAGCCTATAGAATTACAAAGTTTTATGTAACTTTTAAAGGACAAATAACTTATCATTATTCAAATTGGTTAAGGAGGCGAAAAGCTTCTGATTCACTTATAGAGTAAGCACATTTGGCCCCCAAACTCCACAGAGAACAAAAAGAAAGCCCAGAGACCAATTTAGTTTTGATCCTAGATGCAGAATTCTGTATTGAACATTAGCAGGCAAGCCCGTCCATTTGAAGACCCAGCTGTGACCTGGTAGATTTAAAAATACAATAGAACTCAGGTGTGAGAGTCCTTAGAGTCCCAAGGTAATAATGGATGAGCTTTGCTTTGAAGAACTTCAGCAGTTGGGAGCCTGGTTCCTCTGAGTAACTGTTGTGCACCACTCTGTCACTCCCTGAAGAGATACTGGTGCCTTATTTCAAGGGACAGCAGCAGAGCGCTGGGCAGTCTGCAGATACCCAGGGATCCACTCTGAGGCCATCTTTCAAGTTGATGGAGTGAGTTTGCCAGAGTTGCTCTTGGAATCTGGAGAGTATTTTTAAAAATATTTATTATTTTTATTTTATGTGTATGGGTGTATTGCCTGCATGTATGTGAGTACAGTGTCTGTGGAGGTCAGGAGGTCAGAAGAGGGCATCAGATGCCCTGGAATTGGAGTTAAGGGTGGTTTTGGGGAACCATGTGGGTGCTGGGAATCAAACCCAGGTCCCCAGCAAGAGCAGCCAGCACTCTTAAATGTTGAACCATCTCTCCAGCCCCTAGAGTATCTTTTTTTTTTTTTTTTTCTTATTGAGACAGGTGGTCTGGAGCTCGCTATGTTTACCAGGCTGACCTCGAACTCACAGAGATACCTCTGCCTCCCCATTGCTGGGATTAAAGGCGTGCACCAGCACACCTGGCTAGAGTATCTTTTTGACTGAAGAAACGTCCAATACTTTTTGGAGGTTACCAAGAGGTCCCATATATGAATTTATAAATGAATAATAGCTTGAGAGTCACTTAACAATGCGCTTTAACATATTCAAAAGTCTGCTGGAGTGTTGCTATGAAAAAAGAAACCAAATACCTTAGGTTCTCAGAACTGCCAGCTAGAAATGCTGACCACCTGGACCCAGGACATCCCTGTGACTCTTCCTCTAGTGGCTGGAAGCCTGGTTCAGAAAGTCGGAATGTAGGCGCTGGGGAGATGGCTCGGCCTGTGAAGTGTGCCTGCCACACTGCCATGAAGACCTGAGTTCGGGTCCCAGCACCCCTGTAAAAGGTGGGGGTAGAGCACACATCTAGAATTGTAGCTCTGCAGAGGTGGAGACAGGAGAATGCCTGGAGCACATTAGCCGGTCCAGCCCAGTCATTAAACCCCAGGTTCAGTGACCTTGTTTCAGAAAATAAAATGGAGGGATTGGAGACATGGCTCTGGGGTTAAAAACACTGGCTTTTCTTGCAGAAGACCAGGGTTCGAATCCCAGCACCCACATGGAAGCTAACAACTGCTGGTAACTCCAGTTCCAGGGGATCCAACGCCCTCTTCTGTCCTCTGCGGGCATTGCATGACATGAGTGCACTAACCTACATGCAGGCAAGACACGTGTACACATAAAATAAAAATAAAATTTTTCAAAAAGAAAATAAAATGGAGAGTGATAGAGGAAGGCACCGGAGGTCAGCCTGTGACCTCCACACACACAGGTGTATGTGTGCGTGCACCTACTCACATGCATGAAAACATATAAGCATATGCCATACACCTACCAACCCCCCAGAGGCACAGTGTAACTAGCTGACTGTCAGATGCTGACACTGTAGACGTGGTCACACACCGTCTGCTGCTGTTCATATCTGCCGACTCTTCAGAAGTCCTTTGTCTTGCTCATCCTCCGTGGTGGTCTTTCCACTGCTGCCATCATGTGTTCAGTACTTTCTGTGGCAGTGGAGTAGCCACTACTGTTCTCTCCCAGGTTCAGGTTGCCTGGCTTTGGGAGGGCATGTGGTTGGACGTGAAGGAACTGCAGAGCATACAGTGTCGCTAGCTTTGGATAAAGGGCTGAAGGTTAATTTTATGTGCTCAGATGCTTGTGAATGGCTAGTGTTAATGTGAGAGAGCAGCAATATGGGAAATTTCTGGATCGCTTTCATTAGTTTTAATATACGTGATATTTGGGGTAGTAAATCTGTCTTCCATTGCGCCGTGCTTGGAAAATAGCGAAACAGATTTGAATTTTTGAACATACCTCTCCAGCAATGAGGTCGTGCCAACATTTCTGAGGGGCAGAGTACAGCTGGGCTAGAATTGAGCGTATGCATATATGTGAATATATATATATATATATATATAGAGAGAGAGAGAGAGAGAGTATTGAGAATATATATATGTATTATATATATTCCTCCTCCTTATTTATGATTGCTGCTAATTTTAATTGGTTTCTTATTGTACATGAATGTAGAGTGGGCATCAGTAACAAGATGTATACTTGTGGCCAATCCTGTCCTCCTCTGTGAGATGTGACTGCATCTTCCCATGGCTCCACAAAGCTGTTTCTCCCCATGTTGCTGGTATTAGGCCGGCGGATTGCATCATGCCTCCTGTTGACTATAGACAGAGAGTTTAGTGACCCAGAGCAGATGGGAGGGTGAGTGTTAAGTGTTTCCTCATGGGGAGGAATGACTCTTCATGCATGGGGATGCAACTGCCGAGTGCCGCTTCTCTTCCTCAGGAGTTAGACTATGAGTTTATAGCACTTACGCCAAGGCTTTAAGTTTCTTTCTACCCTGTGTGGATGGAGATGCACAAGACAGGCACTGAAACCAAAATTGGAACTGAATAGTCAAACACAATGGCATCTATGAAACGGATAACCAAGAGGTGAGAGCCATCTATGTCACTCTCAAATGCTCTTATCCCCATCGAAGCACTTTCTGAAGACATTCTTAACTTTGTCTCTAAGCTTCTCATCCTTGGAAGCTGGGTATGATGGGACATGTCCCCAAATCCCAGCATTTGTGAGACTGAGACAGGAGGATTGCTATGAATTCAATGTCAGCTTGGGCTGTGTAGTTTGTTTGAGGCCAGCCTGGGCTATATAGTGAGACTGTCTCAAACAAGCAAACAGACACCAGCAATAAGAAGACTCTTTGGTGTGTTTGTAAGCACTACTGAAGGTATTTAGATAGCTGAGTTTTAATATCTGGTGCTGTGAATGAGTCTGCTGTTTCTGATACATGTCCCATTCTCATTCTGTTTCAAAGAGGCTAAAGCTTGGTACAGGTTTCAAAGAGAGAACCTCTCCTGCACACAGTAGACACTAGTGTAGAGCATGCCGTGTGAAAGAGGTGTGAAAGAGGAAGGGATTGAGCCTGCCAAGTTTACTGCTTGTAACCATTGGAGCTTAGACGATGCCATGAAGCACTTTTCCAAAACACCTTTCCGGTCACTCTATTACAATCCCTTTTTTTCTTTGCAGATCCTGCAGTGTCCTTTTAAATATGCATTTGAGGCAAAGAGCTACAAGCAGAAACTGAAAATGCTTGCAAGACTTCCAGCTTCTCTCCGTATGTTTCTAGCCCTGCCTGACTCAGACCATGTGATATTCAGAGGGATTCCTTAATCGAAGCGGTTCCTCAGCCAGGCACATTGACAGAAAATTGCATCTGTAATTCAAGATGGCTAGCCAGCTGCCCGAAGACCCTGTGGAGTCTCAGGTCTCCGACGAGCTTGAATGCAAGATCTGTTACAATCGGTACAATCTGAAGCAGAGGAAACCCAAGGTGCTGGAGTGTTGCCACAGGGTTTGTGCCAAATGCCTCTACAAGATCATAGACTTTGGGGACTCCCCGCAAGGTGTCATTGTCTGTCCTTTCTGCAGGTTTGAGACACGTCTGCCGGATGACGAAGTGAGCAGCCTGCCCGATGACAACAACATCCTTGTAAACTTGACTTGTGGAGGCAAAGCGAAGAAGTGCCTGCCAGAGAACCCCACCGAGCTACTGCTGACCCCCAAGAGGCTGGCCTCCCTCGTCAGCCCTTCCCACACATCCTCCAACTGCTTAGTGATAACCATCATGGAAGTGCAGAGAGAGAGCTCCCCATCTCTGAGTTCCACTCCTGTGGTGGAATTCTACAGGCCAGCAAGTTTTGACTCTGTTACTACAGTGTCCCACAACTGGACAGTGTGGAACTGCACCTCGCTGCTCTTTCAGACGTCCATCCGGGTGTTGGTGTGGCTGCTCGGCTTGCTGTATTTCAGCTCCTTACCCTTAGGGATCTACTTACTGGTGTCTAAGAAAGTCACCCTTGGGGTGGTCTTTGTTAGCCTCGTCCCTTCCAGCCTTGTCATCCTTATGGTGTATGGTTTTTGCCAGTGTGTCTGTCATGAATTTCTGGACTGTATGGCACTTCCTTCTTAATCAATATGCACAAGAGGAAATTTGGCACATGTTGCCACATTCAAATGATGTATGTACAATTTACTTTCTTTTATGTGCTCTGTGACTAATGTCTCTAGCCTCAGCAAAGCCCTTGGTCATACGTTTGTGGTCTGTTTTCCATCCAAATGTTGGCTTGATGGGTTATCTTGGCTGCTGTGAATTAAAAAAAAAAAAAGAGTTCCTTTCTACTTGGGGGTACACACAGCATTCGTGGAGCTCTGAGAGCTGTAAAACCTCCCAGAGCAAAGGTAGGATTGCAGCCAGGCACCGGGCAATGTGTGTCAGGCTGTGCCAGAGTCTTTGTGGGAAGGTCAGGATGAATGGATTCCTCCTTTCAGTTAATGGTGGGTAGACACGGGAGGCAGGTTGCTCCAAGCTGCATGGGTTTTCAAAGTGTGTGCCCCTGTACTCCTGGTGTTAGAGCCCCCACATCATCTTCAGGTGCTTTTTCTCTTAAGGTAATGCTACTCTGAGGTGTGCTGCTCCCTTTGAGATCGCTGTCTCCTCTGTGCAGTCTTCCCTACCCTGGGGACACTCAGCCTCATTCCCTTCGGTGGTTCCAGTAGGACTTTTGTTTTGCCATGTTGCTAAAGAGAATGGAGAACAGGAAGGAGCTTTCGTGGATGTAGACTTCATGGCAGAGCGTGGCCGTTTGTCCAGGACACATGCTCTTTCCTCCATGTGTCGTTTCCACCCCTCCAGGCTTCCCTGAGGATATCCGAGGAGAATGCATTTCTCACAGCACAGTTTTGGTGCATGGAAATCTTCAATCATTTTTGTTTTGTTTTTATTTTAACCACATTTCTCATTTAGACCCAGTTCCATTTAAATTAGTTGCTATCAGTTTATGAAGCTGTCCCTTTACTTCCCCGTGTTTTAGATGCTTGATTGGGGCTAACTTCACTGAGTCCTGTAACAATCTGGGGGAATCTGTGACCATGAACATACAGAGATGGGTCTCCAGATGCCCCAGCTTACAGCCCGAGACACTGAACCCAAGCGTTCGGCCAGACCATGCTAGAACACAGTGGTTCAGGGTTGCATGTTGTGGAAGTCCATGTAAAGCAAAGGGCAGAACCACGCCAGGCCCATGCCCTGCTCCAAGATACCCACCCTCCACAGGAGGGAAGTGGAGGTAGCCGAGTGCAGCTTGACACATTTCTGTTGTTCAAGTTTTGGAATAGATTCAAGTTCTTAAATTATTTTCAGTAAAAGCATAAGCTGTATGGCTTGAGTTAGTGGACTCCTTTTCATGATGCAGGGGAGGTTGGGTGTATATATTTATGAGAAGAAATTGTCTAGCAGATTTTAGATGGGGAGTAGAATGCTCACAGGAATTAGGCAAAAAAAAAAGCCTTTTAGCGTTGACTAACATTAAAATATCTGTAACATTTAGAGAAGGGCATTATTAAAACTACTTAACTTGTTTGTGGTAAAATATTTGTTGTGTGAAATAGTTATGGTGGGCCAGTTCCAATCTCCTTATTGAGGGAAAATGGGTACTTTATATAGAATAGAAGTTGATTTTAATTGTATAGCTATTAGCTTTGAGAACATGTGTGCCCAAGGTAAGTATGATGAGAAAGTACACTGGGATGTGGTCTAATGAAATTTAAGCCCCAGGATAAAGCTAAGTCCATTTATGATTCCAGAAAATCTAGCTTTAGGTAGTATTGTGGATGCAATTTCAAGAAATCCATTTGTAATTTGAGTAAATACAATGTTTGAGAAGTTTGTGATTTGGGTTTATATATTTATAAGGTTTTATTTTTAAGGTGCTCATTTTGTCCAAAATGTAGCATTGGGTGAATTATCACAGGAGGGGATTTCCAGAGAGCTCTGGACATGGGCATGTGTGTTTTGCCTATCTGCATAGCGTCTGCAGTGCTGGATTCGTGTCTGTATTGTGGCACTTTTTCTTTCAGTGCCAGTATGTTGATTTGGTTTTAAATGTATGATGGTAGCAACAGCAACACGACTCTTTGTACTGTTGAGTGAAAAGGCAATCCTGCACCGTTTTACCCATGTGCTAATGTTTTCTTGTCTATTAAATTTTATTATTTCTAAAAGAGAAGTTTGGTTTCTTCGACTTGTGGTTGTGATTGGGTTATCACTTTGGAGCCCTGTTAACTTCAGATAATTACACACTTCAGCAACATTAAGCCAATACCTTTATCATAAACATGAAGATTTTTGAGCCCTACCACGAAGCTAGCCTGACCTCTCGCACTTCTGAAACGGCCTTCATGCTTTGAAGTGGGGAGAAACGTTAGGGGAGATGAAGGAAGAATGCTTTCTTTATAAACGAAATGTTTCCTTTTGTTTGATTTGATTAAATTTTTCCTAATTGCTGAACAAAATAGAATCCAATTTAGTTGAGGGATTCCTTACCTTTGTATAGACTAAGCAAATAAAAAAGAAATGCCTGGTGTCTACTAATCATGACGATTATCAAGTAAAGTAGAAGTCATTTGAGAATAGGTAGCAGTTCTGTGTTTATAACAGTGAATTTAGTGCCACATGTCACTCAAGAACAGTAATTTGATTTACTTCTGAAATTTGTACACAAATGAGCTGATGAGAAGCAGGCTAAGGCAGACAGTTATCTGGGCCCTCATGATTACCCTGTGAACTCACACCTAGCTACCGAGAGGCCATGAAACTATGAGCACTTGCCAGGTTTGAGCATTGTAGACACCTTGAAGAGATTTCAAAGCATGTCAACCTGATAGACCAGAAACTAAAGGACACTTGGTGTCGCTAGGCAAACAGATGGAGTACAGGGCTGGGGAACTGTGAGGGGCGACGAGATGCTTGAGAGAGTGCTGCGGAGGGGAGGCAGGCACTACAGGAGACATCGTCTTTTGAGACTTCTTCCTGCGAAATCTTTGCCAACATAATCCCAATGCTCACCTTGCCTTATTGGAAATACTTCAGCGAGCCTACATATTATTCCAGAACCTTCCTCAAAACCAACAGCTGTCTTGGTTTCATTAAAATCTCCAGGAGTTTAGCAGTTTGTGCTTGTGGCTCGGGCTTTGCACACTTTCCACATCCTTTCCCCCTTAGATAGTTACTTCTCTTTACCTTAATACCCCTTATGAATTTTTATTCTTACAGGCTTAGTATTGGGTCTTTCAAGTTTATTTTTGTGTAAAAGATGTTTTAAAATGTGGATAATTAAATGTTGAAATTTGAGTACATTCCAAGTAAGGCTTGGACACTGTAATGAGTCAGCCCAATCTCTTATATTATTTAAATCTATGGTATAATTCAAACCAAAGTACACTCAGTATAGATATTTATGATTCTGACACGTTGGCACTTTAAGAATAAAAACGTCAGAAATTAAATCATGTCCTCAATACTGTGAATACTAAGTTGGGATGTGTGCTAATGTACTTTTAAAAATGGTTGGAGCTTGATTTAATTAAAACATTCAATTAAGTGAAGCAAATTACTCTGCCAGCATTTAAATTAATCAGGCGTTTATTAGATGTGCAACATATTAACCTTTAAAACTGGGATGGTTGGAATTTCAGTAGAACGAGCATACTGGATGGCAGGGTGCTTTTGATCTTGATTTTCCCATGAAGTGTAAAGAAAATTGTTTGGTATGTGTGTATCCATGCCCCTCAGATAAGAGATCTGGCCTAGAAACCTAGCCTTGGGAATCTGGCTTTGCAATAGCAGCTAAGGGTAAGACAGTGGAGAAATGTCAGGGTGGAGGAGGAGAGAGCTGAATCTGAGATCCTGAGGCTGGAACTCTGAATGCTCAGTGGAAGCTGCAAGAGGGAAGACTCTGGGACAGCCAGGGGAGGGTGTGGTGGAAACCAGAGAACAGAACGTGCGGTCAGCAGAGTCCCGAGGAAGAAGGTGGAGCTAGAATCCTTAGATCAACAGCAGGGAAACAGATTTCAGATTGGCTTCTGAAAAAAAGGCTCTTTAAGCTTTTTCCATGAAAAATTTCAAATGCGTGGAGTGGAACAGTTTCATTACTCCTGGTTCGCTTACCCATTAGTCAGTAGCTAACCTTTAGAATGTGTGTTTTCTCTCTCTGAGGTAAGTGTATGCTGTATAATTCTAAACTTAACACTTGCCCCTAAATCCTCCCACCACAGTCTCAGTGTGGTTGAACCAATCAAGAATTACTGCTTTGTCATTAAACAATCCTGGACTCAGGTAATTCTGAAAGTAGCTAATGTCAATTCCTTCTCAATAGTTTGAAATACATTAAATCTTTAATTGTTCTGTCTCCAGATTAAAAAGCTTATCTTCTAACAGAATTTTAATTATTTTAACAACACTTTCACTATGAGATGTTATTTTTAATGGTGAAGAACATCAATAAATGGGCATCTATTTTTGATATGTGTTAAGCCCAAACCTCCCACACTCTTCCTTTTATTACCCACCCCTCATTTTCTGATTTCTTTCAATACCATTTATGGAAGAACTTAGTCCACCCATTCTCACCCTCCTGCACATATGAACATAGATAGGCATACACACGTGCACACACATAACATGTGTACACATGCACAGATATGCATAGACACAGTACAACACGTGTGAACACACAATGTACACATGCATGCAATAGACACATGCATAATACACACGTGTGCATACACACAGTATGCATATACACACAACACATGTAACACACATTCACATTTTAGGAAACATGTATGAAAGAGAACCATGCAAGTATTCCACCAATTGGTAATTAATCCATTTAAGTGCTATTGAAAACTTTTCCTCATGACTAACAACTGTTTTTTTGACTGGTTGTCTAATAATGGACTTAGCTGCTTGTTTCAGAGGTAATTATTGCCTCATTTACTGTGTTCACTACCGAGCAATAGAAATTATCCTAGCTAAACAACAGATTGATTTGTTGACACTGCTTCTGTTTAATGTGATTTTTCTCAATATTCCAGCTAGAACTATGTATTTCTATGATTTGATTTATTGTCATAAATTTTGTCTTTGGTTAGAGCTTTCAGAATATAAAATTATTTCCAGCCTATAATTTGAGCAGATAGAAACCACCAGTTAAAAGGGAGCAAGTAAACCTAATTTGTGGGACTTTCTGCTACTGGAGTGGAGGATGGAGAGAGAGAGTGGTCCCTGGAGACCAAAGAAGGTTAAATTCTGATTTTGGAATGAGGAGGAAAATTGAGCTGCTAATTACTTAACCCTGTTCCTAGTTACAGTTTTATACCCCAAATGGACACCTCACCAGATTTTTGTGATACAGAGCTTAAAGATTCATTATTTTGACTTCTACTACAGCTACCTTTTATGCATAGTATTCAAGCATTCCTTGACTCTTTGATACGATATTCATGCCTGTCACAGCTTATTGGAAAATATAAAAGACAGTTACAATTGTTAAAAGAGTATCATATTAAAGCAATTGTTCCAAAATATATGATGTGGGACATGTCCAAGTAGCTGGTCCAGAAGGGAGGCTTCCTGGCTGTCAAAGTGGAAGAAGCCAAACAGCTTGCATCTTCCTCTCAGAGACTCAATAAGCATCAGCACCATGTGGTGGCTGAGAAGTAAGTCCCTTAAGTAAACCTGTGTAGTGGTGTAGTCCAGTATTTCTCAAACTTATGTAACCCTGGAGCCCTTTCTCAAGATATCTATGAATATTCTATGTGATTAGAGTTTGGTGGAATACATTTTGTGAAATCTACCTTAGCCAATTGGTAACAACAGTACAGTATAAGATTTAACATAGCTGTGGGTCACTGAATCATTGCATGAATTTAAAAAACAGCAAAGTCAAGGTCTTAGTTAGGCAGTGGTACAGGAAGAAGCAGAATGCAAAGGAGAAGAGGAACAGGACACTGGGAGTGAGAATAGGTGCTGAGATTCTTCACTTGTTTCCAACTTAGTTGTCAGATATTCTTGTCAAAGTTTTATGGTTTTGTCCCCAGCACTTTGGCCAGCATCAGTGTTCTGAGTCCCACATGGGGAAATACCTAAATCTATGCAGAAGGAAGTCCGATGTGAAGCACTCAAGCACCAGTTATTTACTGCACTAATGGAACTTCCACACTGACTTCTCAGACTGGAACCCAATATTCCATCTTTTGGGAAACATGGGCCAGATATAAAGTTTTGATCATCAGACATCAGAAATAGAAAGACTGTATGGTTCAGAGCGTGACCAGTTCATCTGACATGAGAAACTAACTCTTGGAAATGATCAAAGGAGTCACAACACAGGGCTAGAAATAGTTTCTAATGGGGGACACTGAGGTCCAAGTCTGCTTTTGCATCTGTACTGAGGCCCTACACTGCCCTGTTTCTTAGTGAACATCTGTCAACTTACTTTTTG